CATACAACAGCGGGGATTCGCTAGTGGTCACCCACCTAACTACTAATCCGCCGGTACACTGCTTGTATATGGCTGAGCGGACGGGAAGCCTAATTTTCAGTGTCCTATGGTCGTATGTAGCAGATTAGACAAATTGTACTAGTATAAAATGCCGATCCATGAACTGGCACGCTAGCGTGCTACTACGATACCATGCAGGTTAAAGGCGATATAAATAATGTTAATCCCTGCAAATACATCCTCTCTCTAGGTTAGCTCTTACTTCAGCAGTAAGCAATAAGCAAAAGATGATAAGCAAGTTGCATGCCAGGTGGTCGAAAGATATAGCCTGACTATATACTGGCGTCGTGTCTCCCCGCGGAATGCATCGTCACGGCAACTCCGCAACTCCAGTTGCAAAGCGACGAATGTTGAGCTCGTATTGCGCATCGAGACGCACGCCATCTTCAGCCTTGTGGGGATGCAATAGCCTTGGCGGTTTTAATTATAGCCTAGCGTTGTGTTTATCAGGTCTAGCCCGAGAGAACTCTAACACCACTTTCGCTTCACGAGTCAGCCCATGCTTGGAAGTCTCCTATTCACGATGTAATATATTCTGGTCGCTCCCGTTCACGAACGTCGTAACGCGTCCCCATTCGCCGACCGTTTCTTAACCCAAGTCACTCGTTCCGACGGTTCTTTTACACCATGCGTTCTTCGATGTTATTGGCCGTTCCGGCACTTCTATTCCTTAATGTTAATGCGTTGCGCGTCAGCACCTCGAGTGTTTGCGGTAAACAGTCTTGGAACACGCTTACTTGCAAGAATTCGTCGTGGGGAAACTGTTGCTCCAAAGATGGACGTTGTGGTTCCACGGCAAAATACTGCGGAACTGGGTGCCAGGCTAAATTTGGAGACTGCAAATCGCCAGTATCTTCAGCGCCCACGGTTATCGTTTCCAAAACACCTGCGGCGTCATCGAAAACACTTGCAGTATCCCTGACGAAACTCGTAGTGCCATCGGCAGTACCTGCAGTCTCATCAGCAGCACCCGTACTATCGTCCGCAGCACCTGCAGCATCATCGAAAGCACCCGCAGCATCAGCGGCCCCGGTTGCTGGCGGAAAGATCTCCACTGATGGAACTTGCGGCGGAACTTCTGGCTTCACCTGCGTCGGCTCTTCATTTGGCAATTGCTGTAGCGCCTATGGATGGTGTGGAAAGTCTGCCGACCATTGCGGCACTAGCTGCAATGCAGCCTTCGGAATTTGCGGAGCGGCGTCATCTTCATCGATCTTGCCCACGACTGCAGTTCCGACTGCAACTTCGGGAGCTGCACCAGCACCCACCCAAAAAGTTTCCGTCGACGGAAGTTGTGGCAGCGGAGTGACATGCCTGGGCTCTTCATTCGGCGATTGCTGCAGCGCCTACGGATGGTGGTAAGTTCTCAATCCTCTCTCCCTCTCCTCCCATACTGACATCAACTCGCAGTGGAAGCACCGCCGCATTCTGTGCAACAGGCTGCCAATCCGGGTTCGGAAAGTGCGATACTCCTTCCACCAGTCCAGTTCCAAGCACCACCTGTGGCGTCGAAGGCTTCGCTAATGTTAAGGCATACTACGCTTCTTCGTTCAACTTGGTCGATGCGACGAATGTCTCGACTTGTGCGACGCTATGTTTGGTCGAAGCAGAATGCAAGAGTTATTTGTTCAACCCGAAGCTTGGAAATTGCGCGTATCTTAAGAATTCACTCAAGGAGGGAGAGTTCATTGCTACAAGTGGCACGGATCAGCTTTTCTGGGAGAGGGCTTGCGCTGAGGCTAAGTAGACTTTGGAGCAACAATGCTGGAGCTGTAGTTGAGAAGTTGTCCAAGAATGATAGATAGTCTATGCGCGTTACGTCCGGGGACATTATGCAAGACAGCGGCTGGTCATAGCTCCACCGTACCGCTTTCCGCGTTCCTGGGCGCTACGCGGCCGTGCACGGTAGCATCTTGGCATCAAAGCCCGCTCCATCACTGCTATTCATCCTCGTATCTATCACCTCCTATTTTGCAAACCACCACCCTTTACATATTCCTGAGAATACTATCTGTGCTTGATCATAGAGTCCGAGCTTGATCCTATGCGGTCGCTCTTTCGAATCGGGCAGGTTTTGAAGGGGCGTGCTAGCCAATACACGATCACGAAAGAGATCCAAGATACTGTGTGGTTCGCGAAGTAGACAGTATACATTCAGTATTCATAACAACATCTCATACTTCCCAGAAATTATTTGCAAGAGCATGTGGTGATCAAGAGCGTTCTCGACCACCCGCGAGTGGAGAATGAAAGAGATGTACTCAAAAGATTTCAGCACCGCACCCCGTACCTCCGACCTTTGATCGATGAAATCGACGAGCCGACTTTTCCTGTGACCATCGCTCTTAGGTACTTGCAAGGAGACCTTCTAGAGGCGTCCGTTGCAAGAACTTTGAATAGGCGAGAAGTGAGACACGTCTCGCGGTGCGTACTAGAGGCATTGAAGACCTTACATGAGGACGGTTTTGTGCACACAGGTACATCGCTACCTGGGCTTAACGATAAATTCTATGTGACTGACAGACGGTATAGATGTCAAGCCAAACAACGTATTTGTCAATCTGCAAGAAGGCGACGTTCGATTTTCCGACGTCCAGCTAGGCGACTTAGGTGGATGCTACCCGGCAGACTCAGAGTGGGCTACATCAGGCACCGTAGTAGGAACACCTATGTGGACAAGCCCAGAGATTCTTATGGAATTACCTTGGAACACCGCAGCTGACATATGGTCTTTCGGTGCTATGGTCCGTCAGGATTCCACTAGAAACATAAGTATAAATGGAAGCTGACTTCTTCACAGCTCATCAGTCTTATCTACGGTGAAAATTTCAACCTCTTCTTGCCGAAAGGACTGACACGTGAAGACGAAGAGTATGTGGTTGGGGTTGTTGTAGAGCAATTCAAATATTTCGGACCTTTTCCTGCCAAAATGGAAGAGATCGCAGACCCAGAAACGGTCCAATCTATCATTACGATCATGGAAAATATCCCAAAAGAGAAGACGACGCCATTTCAGCGAACCACCGAGAGAGAAGTAAGCCGGAGAGACAACATCTTCATATCAAAGATGATGAAACTCGATTGGAGAGACCGCCCAACTGCAAGAGAGTTACTAGAAGACGAATGGTGGGACAACGACGAGGAATAGCATCATGTACTGCACCATGGAGTAAGACGAAGTCGCTTGTAGTGGGGTGACAACGATGAAAAGACGACAACAACGGTAAGGACTATTGAGATGGATGGAGATACTAGGCAACTGATACCATTTACATGGATTAGATCGAATCAATCTATTTCACAAACACGTGATAGTCCAGCCTATGGACATAAGTCATGAGGCGATCTGTCACGCTAACCGATCTAGACATATCGCGTGTCGATTTTCAGGCTCGCAAAGCTTCGATGGATTCTCAACTATGGACTACAGCAAACCTCAAATATCTTGACCAAGGTATACTTCAGTCGTATGTTGCTGCTGAGGCTTCATCTAGATATGGCTGCATATTCGTGCACATGTGGATACTAGGTGGATGCGACGGCACAAGCTAAGAAAAGAATGAAAATGATGGAAGGCCTCATATGAGCAACTCACGCTCAAGAGTCAGACTGAGCTGGCATCCGAACGGGAGCCCCTAGGTTAATCCTTTCAGTTACAAGCCAGCTATAAATAAATATTCGCTTCTGCCCTGCCCATTCCGAAACGCAAAATTCGTGCTACCCTCTTCCGTATATCCTGTTGTATTACTACTCTGCTCTCGCGCTCTGAAACGTGCATGGATATCTCACGTCAATCGACATCAGCGAAAGCACGATACACCTAATTCTGCGTCATAAATCCTTGTCCAACCATCACTATGTTCTCCCCACTCCTCATTGTCTTTCTCACAGCCATGGCAGCCGCCGATTTCACGACCACAATGGAATTTAGAGACTGGCTCCTCGGCGAAGATAGCATCGGCCGCGCGACCGAACACCCCTTTGGCTTCCGCGGTTCAATCGTAAACATTGATCAAAACAAAACAACCATACACGCGCAATTCGATCAGGACAGCGGGGGCCTATCTAGCAAGTACCATGTCGCAAACAACACAAACTCGTTCACATTCACCTTTGCGCCCGACTACATCTCCGCGCAGATGGCGAAACCCGACTGGTGGCAGACGACGTACGATGTAGACTGTTCCGGACCAGGCAGCAGGGCGACCGAATACATTGACGTAGCAGCAAACACGTGCACGGTTTCGCTATGGGGCGCAGCGTTTTCGTCAGAAAAATGCAGGGATGGGGCGTGGGGGATAAGGAAATCGACGCGCGCGAGTTGGTTCTGTGATGAAAATGGGGTGCAGAGTGCTACTTGGAGACAAAAGAGTCTGGAAGATTATACTACGCAGCGGAAACAAATTGTTCTTACGGCAGGGTTGGAGAAGCTGGGTGCGGAAGCTACGGAGGCTATGGTCACGCCTACGGCTACTGCGAGTGCGAGTCCCACTATTAGTGGGCCGGCGCGGGAGACTGGCGGTGCGGGCGCGGTACGGGCGGCTGATATCGCAATGGTCTGTGTTGGTGCTGCTGTAGCTGTGGGCATGTCGTAAGATGGAAAAGCTTGGATACAGTTCCAGTCCAACGGGTCCTTGTAGTTACTAACCCCCTTATATACATCCCTCGTCGGCGACCAGCAGTGCCAAGACGCCTTAACAACTAGTATAGGAGATGCAGATCTGACACTGGATCAACTGCACACTGTCGTAGATGATCTGTTCATGACGGAGACTCCTATTGACTGAACGATTGAGTGTCGGATATGGTAACGAGCTCGAACATGGTCTAACCAGCAGGTTTATGCTTTGACACATCATCGCAACACAGGGAGGTGCACATTATAGCCAGAATTGATGAGCAGTATATTAAATTCAGCATGATCGTAACCTTGCACTCGACTAAACTTCGGCGGCGAATACGTAACGTACCTCGCTCGCCCGTTCAGACTCATTGACTACTTCGACGGCGGATGGTTCCATACGTTCGCGCAGGTACGTGTACAGCTCCTTTAACTCTTGTCGCACGCCATCGATACCTGGTGCTACTTTGTGAGGGTTAGGATTGGGGCACTTCATTCCATGGATCATCTCGTACACTTCAGGATCTAATACAGTTTGCAGACATACGTTGCAAAGTTGCACTGACATATGATGATGCCGGATGAGGTGAATGCGGATTTGTGTCATGTTACCAGCTTGTAGATCTGAGCACGTCTCCGGAAGGCCAAGATCGTGCTCAACCGCAGACAGCGGGCATGCAACGATGAATTTATCGCTGTGACCGCCGGCTTTGTTACGAATTGTCTGCACTCGCTCAGTCTCTCTCGCGTCTGACTTGGCCGACGCCTCAATCGATGGCAATGCTGTGTATGTGTCGCCTCGATGACGACGCAGTAGATCGTGCTCCTCGGCGTGTGGATGCTCGGTAAGATCGCCACCGGTCTGGTCTTGCCTGATCTCCAAGGGCTCAAAGTCGAAGTTGAGATTCATGTTCGGGGGCGTGGCAATGAAGGGAGCCGATTCTTGATTAACACTGTCTGAAGGATCGAGGCTTAGAACCTTACTGGACTTCGAGTTGAGGTGTTCATGAGATCCAGGGCTCAAGGGTTGTTGATACGGATCTTTGAAGTCGGTAAAATCCGTGCCAGCGGTTACACTGCCATCTCGCTCATGTAACCCTACAGAGCTTTCGGCACCCGCGGTACGCGCTTGACGTTTCGGCTCATATCCCGTACTGCTTGAGTAGACTGAGAATGCCACATCTGCCAGCCTCTTCGATGATGGAGCTTGCGGTTGCACTACTCGGGGTGTACATTGTACACACTGATGTTCATTCATGTAGTCCTTTGCAGACTTATAGTAGCAAGCGATATGCTGCCAGGTGCCGCACTGGAGACAAACAATAACAAAGCGCTGGTCCGATGTTCTTTCGCAAATGCAGCTTATCTTGACTGATTCGTCTTCATTCTGGTAAACGAGAACCTCAGAATCAATGTGCTGATCCTATCCTTCGGCAGCGTCCTTACTCTCGGATCCTAAGTCACCTTGTGTGTTGGCGTGTACTTTCCCTTCCAAGGCAGAAAGTTGGCCCCGCAGCTTCCTCCGATAATTCCATTGCGCTATACGATTTTGAAGTCGTCTTCTTTCTGCAGTGTCAGTGTTACCCAACAAAAGCTTACTATCGAGGATGGGATCAATGGCATTGGCTACCGAAGATGCAAGAAACTTGACTACCACAATCTGGAACTCGTGACCGTTCTAATCGAGATACTTCGATCGCTGGCCTGAGCTGGTCAGTATTCTGCTGGAGGGTTGAAGGATGCGTACTTACTGTCGACGCGAAGCTTGCAATAATAGACGGCACATGCCGTACTCCAGCGGTATTGCAGCCGCCTACAGTGAACTGGACTCCAACGATACAGGAAAGCGTCTATGGTCCGATCGATCACTTCGTACCCCCAGAGCTCATTCAGGGTTTTGTGTAGAGTAGTAAGACGCAATTCCTGCGAGAAATCAGAAGTATGCAGCCATTGCGGTCCCTTGAGTAACACAGTATCACGTGTTACGGATACTGCATTGGGCAGCTTGTGGGACAAGATGACCTTGCGAAGAATCGATTGTGATGGCCAGGAACTGGGTTGCGCAACGCGGTGCCTGGACGTGTGCAACGCTACTAAGCAAGCGCCCGCATGCCCCCTGTTCGAATTCCGATAGCGCCTCTCACGGTGCTGCAACACCGTTCGCTACCTAAGCCAAAAATGCTGGATCACGACTTTAGTCGTGATCCAACTTCCCAATAGGCGGCCCACGCCTATCAGAGTTGTCGTAAATTGGTGCTAGAGGTATACCTCTAGTAATTTGTTGTTTTAACCTATTTGTGGCTCGCTTTAACTCGCTACAGAGCCAGCTAATAGTATTAAGCCATTCATGCAAGCAGGGTAGCGAGGCCCCGCTGTTTTCATCGTTTCTCATTCGTGAACGCCAGCTACGCTGCCTGGTCGTGTCGTCTTCCACAAATCCGATAGCGCCTTTACCAAATCCGATTTGTGGATTCGCGCATCGACCATTCGCGCCTTTCCGCAGCGGCAGCTCGGCCTGCACCGCTTGAGCGGTCTTGTCGCACCCAAGAGAGTTCCGCTTTCTGTGTATCGCACACTATAAGTTTCACTTCACTGGTTTTCATATACCTAATGAAGCTTTACTATATAGCTCTAGCATATGGATTTTATACAAATCGGGATCCACGGCCGAGCACAGTAGGCTAGCCTTCTGATTAGGCTGAGCTGAAGCCTGGAACTTTGGCCCCCAACCTCGTAGACGCCCAGCTGCGACGGCGGCAGCGCCTCGGACCTGCGATGCCACCGGTGCAGTGGCTGCTGATGCGCCCATTGCTGCGTCTCAACCACACTGCACTGATACCGTTCGTTGCATACTCTGCGGACAGGCAGCAACTCTTCAGAGGCTAGTATACAGGTTGAGCAGCGCTGAGACGGTTGCATTGTTGTGCGGAAGGCGACTGCTGGACCTTTATTCTCGTTCAACCACAACTTATCATGTCCCTCAGTGGTAACAATGCGCCGACCGACACTCAAACTAGACTCGCCCACGCGCTGGGGTTTACCAAATACCCAAAGGACACGACCGCCGTACCGTATCTGAACTATATTCTGAAGCGACATACTGGTACCGAGTCGAAGGAGGCGTATATCGAGCTCTTCGTTAAGATCATCGAACATTTTCAGTCTGCTGCACCAGCAAATGGCACAGCGACGGATGCTACAGTGCAGTCGCTTGTGAATGAGCTGACTCAGGCGGGGTTCGGAACGTTCTTCGCGGGCACTGCAGCTGGGGATGTTAGGCGCAAGGAGATTGCTGAGGATACGGTTATGTTGATGCTTGGAACATGGGCTACAATGTACAGCTCTTTCCAGCACAAGCGCCAGCGTCGCAAAGTTGTGGCAGCATACCGCATGTTTGCAGATCAGACGGGAGCGCACACTACTACGCCCTACGATAACTCCCTTTCTGGCCTGATTGCAGGCAGTGGCCTTCTTCCTGGTGGACAATGGGATCAAAGAGTGGACCTAGAGGGAGACGCGGCCTCGAAGCTCATATCATTGCTACTGAGTACGTCGAAGAACCCGAATCAAACATCCTCGCCGGAAGTATCTACAGCTACACCCGGACAAGCTCTGCCGAGCGGTACGTTACGCTGAGAAGCTTTAGTCTCTGATGACGGGAACGTGCTGACGCTTTGTCCAGCAATGTCATCCTATGCTCTGTTAGATGATCTTGATCTTCAAGAATCGCAGTCTATCAGTGCTAAACGTCTTAACGCGTTCACTCTCAATGTGCTTAGCGCAGTGGATGTTCAATGGACGCCCAACGTGTCACGGCACTTACTCCTTAATAAAGTAGGTAGGCGCTATGTTCTAGAACTGTTCTCATTGCCATGTGCTTTCGACGCCATAACAGCCCCTAAACCCGTAGGTGTACCAGTCCAGCTTAGACAGGAGATAGAAGAGTCGTATGCTATCCTATTTAATGCTTGGGGTAAGGTGCTTCCACACGCAAGATTAGGAGCTGTCCGCAAAGTGTGCTGGTGCTGGTCATGTTGCGCCTACCGTCATCGTCAACGGTGCATTCGCGTACACCATTCACGCATTTCGGCGACGCCACGAAGCAGAACCCGCGTCGCGCCCACCCAGTTCGATTATGACCCGATCTTAGAGTCACTGATGACAAGCCCTTCTATGGATGATTGGACGCCGGGGAGCTTTCCGTTTCTATGGCCACGCATTACTCGACTGGAACAACACCTCCAGTCATCGAGACCTTGGAGTCTGTGGGTGCTATTTCGCGATCGAAGAGACACCCTACAATTTTGGACATTTCTGTTAGTGTCGACATTGTACTGCAGAAAATACAAGCTAATTGTCTTAGGTTTGCTACCGTGGTCGTCTTCTTGACTGTCATGCAGGTCTTGCTAGGCATCGCACAAGTCGTAGGCTCATTCAAGTAGTAGTAGTGAACAAGTTGAATTCCGCCTCAATTATCTATAGCTTCACAAGAAATTGCTTTTACAAGATTCTATATTCCTGACGGAGCTCATCGGGAACCGGAAAGGCTCCGTAGAATGCTACTAGCCCCAGCCTTAGTCTCTGCTCTAAGGGTGGACCTTCCAGATCGAAATTCTGCGGATGTCCACTCATTTGTACGAAACTCTGGAAGCCTATGATGCCAGGTCCGTGGCTTCCATCTTCCCTTTCGCCGTCTGCGTACAGCGCTATACCACTATAGCCAATGGGCGTGATGAAGTCAGGCTTCACTCGGTAAAGCACGGCGCGGGATACGAACTTACTCCAGTACTCTTCATCATGGCTATCCGCAGCTTTGGTGCCAGCAGCTGCAGTTTGATTGCGAAAGATGCCTTCCCCTACTATAGAAGCCTCGGACTGCTCGAAGGACTGCGTGGAGCACTTGATGCATTTTGCTTCTTTGTTTCCTTCCGTTGAACCAAGGACCTTGATAGCTGTAGAGCCATGACGAAGAGAGGACCAGCCACTACGGCTCAGCCAGCCAATATTTTCAGTTGGACACTTGATGTCTGCAACCGGGGCCGCCAGGCCTGGCTTGATCAAAGTAATGTCGTGATTGAAGCCTGTTGGATAGCATTCTGCAGCTTGATCAAAGCTCTTCTCGATGACCCCGATCTACTACTGTGTTAGTCATACTCCTACAAAAAGCCTACAGAACCTTCCGCAGTGGCACTCACCTTCATGTTTCCTGCCCAGATCTCAGCATGCTTATTCCAATCATCTCGAAGACGCCAGATCGGATCGCGACTCAGACCGAAGGCTTTGCTTAGGATTGACTCTGTGATGACATGGGTCGACATGATCAAGTAAGGCTGGCGGTTCTGTATATGCTCTACTTGCAGGCCAATCCTGCCGGAAAACTTGTCCCGTAACGACTTGTCTCGAGACGATTTGTCTCGTAGCAACTTGTCTCGTAACAACGATATTACAGGGCGTGCTTCGATAATATTGTTGATTTGCAAAGATTGAGCTGCTCGAGCCTGTCTAGAAGAATGCGTGAGCTGATCGGCTGGTGTTTGTAACATGGCAGCTGTCGACTGAGCGACTGCTACGTTCGATCTGAGCGCGGTGGGCACCATATTATTAGTAATGTAACACACTTTGAGTCCACCGAAGCTGCGAGGTAAGTGACAGGATGCCCAGGCGGTTTCAAAAGTGTCCGGGACAATGACTTGCAGCAGTCCGCTGATAAGAATGTAGAAGCCCAGAGCGCCTTCGAATGTAAGGAACAAATCTCGTATGACGTCTGTGGGTAATTCGGTCCGTGAATTGATGAGTGATGGTCTAGGATCCGGTGGGGGAATCACTCCACCAACAGGCAGCCAACTGTGTTCTACCGGGATTACGACGCGGGTCTGGGCTATCGTGAGAGGGATGTCCTTTGGCTCGCCATCCAACAAAGGCGCGCATGTCCAGCAGCCATCTTCGTTACCGCCGTCGACATAGCTGTTGACATATTCAATATCCCATTTGTATGATTCCGGGAGCCGAGTTCGGACTTCTTCCCAAGCAGAAGGCAATTTCCCTCTCATCTCGGCCAATACATGTCTTGCCTCGCATTCGGGGGGACCTTCCGTGCCACAAACACAAACACAGCCAATCTCGGCAACCAAATCGTTAGATGCCTCACAGTCATCTTGGTTCCTAAAGAGCTGGCCCTGGTGCACTTCAAGTGCGTTTGCAGCCTGGACATCGAGACCCTTTCTCTCGTGGAGCAGGTGGCGCAGGTTCTAGGAGCGTACTGTTAGTGACCCATTGTTAACATGTATGTATTCGCATATGCACTGCGTACCTCCAGGGGAGAGCTATTTGATAATAGAGTGGAGACGAGCAGCTTCTTACCATCTTGGACCTTGAGGATCTGTTACTTACGTCACCGTCAATGTTGCCAAATGGGGGACCACCGTTGTCCAGGGGTTGGTCGGGTGGGGTTTCCTGGAGAGTGCGAAGAGTTTGCGCACTCTCGTATCGTCTCTCATGTGCTGGGGTTGGTGTTGGCGATGGTCCCAGATCTTCACCCCGTTCTCTTCGGGCGTCTGCCTACAGAGACGGATAATAGAGTCAGTGTATGTCTCATGTGCATCTTGTACAATTGCAACCTACCTCTTTTGGACTCTGCTCCAGATCCAGCTTGCCACCTTCTTTAAGACGCAAATACTGATTTTGAATCATGGTTCCCGTCTTGGTGCCCATGTGATGTGCAATTACTTCAAAGTCTGTGCCGAAATATGCGATATTTTTGTCAAGATCCTGCAGCTCGGTGACACTCCAATAGCTGGACGGGTAAGGTTTGGCCTTGGGTATGTCTGTCAAGTCGACGTTGATGTCAGACGCAGAAGGCCCATCCCTTGTACCCCTCACCTTTGCAGGTATAAGAAGAGTATTTGACTGGCTGTGATGTTTGCGCGTATGTGCACTAAGTGCGTTTTTGTTTGCAAAGCCGATGCGGTTGTACTGACAGGATGCTGTCTGACAGTACACGCGTTGTATATGAGCAGCTTCATGCTTGAGTCGAGATTCTGCAGTGGCAAACCCCAGGAACAGCCTATCGCACTGTGGAAAGCGGCAACGGAAAGCTGTCGATGCATAAGATTCTTGAAACGCCAGGAGAGTCGATGTCGTGATACCGTCAACTTTGCGTTGCTCCAGAAGATGCACAATCGCGCTCTCGTATGCTTGTGAAAGTCTACTGAAGAGTGTTCGGTCTCGCTCGATGATGTAAGCCTCGATATCTAAAATTCGTCTTGTGAGCCCATGAATAACTTTTCACTGCAGCAATCCATCGAATCTGAACTTACCTACGCTCCTGTCGTCATTTTTTTGGCTAGCCAATCGTCTAAGTTGTAGTACGTCTGCCATCAGTCCATAGATCGGCATGCCGGAAAACAGCTCAAGTCGTTCATCTCCATAGCTCACGTTGGTCTCTGTCTGCGTGGCAGTCTGAACTGCGTTACACCCCACTGCATGCAAAGAGCTTTTATGCTTCTCGTACAGTTGATCTAGATGATGCTGAATCGCTTGATCTAGTCCGAGATTCTCCCTTTCCGATGCGTACTCCAGACAGTGTTCGATCCAAAACTCTAGAGCGTACGGTAAAAGCCTATGATGACCACTCACAATTCTGGCAAAGTTTGTAACAGAGCCACTGTCCACACACAAAAGATCGAGACTGCGCGTGATTACCACCACGCAAGCAGACGATATATCGAGCGCAGAATCGATCTCTGGGATGATCTGCGGCTTGTGAGACTTGAGGAAGTACCTGTTGAACTGTTACACATCATGTGCTTGACTCATGAGCATACTTGGTTTACGTACTCTTTCACCGAGAAGTGCACCGGTACTATCGTTGAATCCAGTAATTCTTCGATGAGTGGCTTGCAGTGATCAAGAATGGAAGCGACAGGTATATCCTGCACCCGAGAGCCAGTGTTATGTGGCAAGATGGACAGTGCCTGTAGTAGCTCTGACTTGTGCAGAGGCCTTCGTGCGGAACACACCAAGCCCATGACACGAGATACACCTCCATGACTATGAGCACCTGGGGCGCTACAAAGACGAGCAAAAAGCTTTTCGTAGAGTTTTTCAAGATCAGAGGGAAGATCGTCGACGATAGTGCGGAGCTCCTCAGGACTATACACCCTATCGAGTAGGTCCAACACGAGGCTGACCCACAAAAACATACCTGTGCTAGTTTTAGAACACAACTTGTCAATGAGAAGTTTGGGCAGAGATCACCATGAGACTTCTCGATAAAAGTCTTTTTGACACACGCCATAATGGACGCATCAGGATCGAGCTCATCGAAGTGATCAGGAAGATCAGAGAGCTTACTCTCGACGAAATTGGCGATTGAGCGAGAGATCGCAAAACATTCGTCACCATTGCTAAGAGAAATTGTCGTTATCGGTTTGTTCTTCCTGCGCAAAGACCGCGAGATTTCGATAGTCTCTCGACTAGCAACCAAGATCTTGCATGTGTGAGAGGATTGATCAACCGAGACTATCTGCGAAAGATCGTGGAGGACGTCCTTTTGATCCCGCGAGGCCCATTCGTCAATACCATCTACGATTAGCCGCACAGAGCCCATCCCTCGAAGTAGTTCGGGAAGAAGATTCATTAATGCTTTTTTTGTTGGTACTGGGTGAGCCAAAAAGTAAACGTCGTGGACGTAGATTGCAAGATCCTGGTGTTTTTGGATCACTTGCGAGATGATCGAACGCAGTAGACGGCTTGGGCGGCAGATCGGACCATCAGCGTTGCTTCGGAGAGAGCTGCAGAAGTAGTAGAACACATGGACGGAATTACCTTCGGCATGTTGTACAAGAGCAGAGCATATCATGGATTTTCCTTGAGACGGATAAGCAGGTAAGAAGCCACAATGATACATGAACATACCCGCCCCCGGCTTTCCGCATAGCCATAGAAGGGGGTTTTTCATTACATCCTTTAGCCATAGCTGTGTTTCTTTGTGTTGTACGAACCAATCGCAACTATCGGGCAGGTAATTTTGAAGGTGCCGCTCGAGTATATCGGCTGGCATAGTATCGTTTGTCTCGAGCCAGCCCAAGACTTTGTGTACTTTAGCCTGAATTCGAGGTAAAAAGTCAGTCTGCGTGTTCATACAGTATTCATACTAGTATATACTGACACTGTTCCATTCACGCTCTTGCTGCTCCCACTTCTCGTCGTCTACTTTGCTACGCCTGAAGGCTTCAGCGATATCAGCTGCGGAGGCCTCCTTGTCGACCAGCTCGCTATGGTACGCCAGGTCCTTCAGGATTCCGTTGAAACGAGTTTCAAATCCGGCCCACATAGAGCTGAAGAATATGGTCCATGCTATGAGTGATGAGAAGGATATATCATGACGCTATTGGCCAGCTTACATCTTCGTCGCACGAACTTATAAGCTCGTCGATGGAACTCTACGATGTCGGAGAATACCAAAGCTAGCACTTTCTGGAAGTTTTGATCGCCGACAAGTGCATCACTGAGACGATCCAGGCGAGGGAGCATATCCCCAATCTTGCCATAGGCATCGATCAACTTTTCGAAAGCACTGAGCGAATCAACCGTGATCTGTTGCTCGCGATAAGTGATCCGAATTTTGCGAAGGCACATGACTTACCATAAGCATCAGTTTTATCGGTGCCCAAATCCATGAAAGATAAGGTGTTCCATTGCACAGTACTTCCACTACCTTGGAGTAATGCTCCATGCCCCGCAGCAATGGATCAAGCCGGGCTATGTTCTTCTGTATACGGCTCTTGCGGAGCTGCTTCTCGATCTGCAAAGCCTCATCCCGTACATCTTTGAGCTCTGTGTTATGAAAGAGCAGCTGGTCATCTTGTGACACAGATAAAGCGAACCGTTCGAATGCGTCTCGAAGCGTGTGACTGGCTTGGGCGGAAATGGCCGCCAGTGGTGGCGCCGTTGCCATCGGGCCGTGTAGATAGAGCACGGGAGCACTACGAAAAGCGGAGCAGAAGCTGACAGTTCGATCGCGACTTATAATTTCACTCTCGAATGCGACCAATATATAACGACTCGAAAAGCGACAGAATGAAGCATGCTAACAGCACCTCCGAGGCTGACAGGGTATTTGCACAGCTTTGGGGGTGGCTGCCTTGCTCAGCCTCAGCCGTGTCCGTGCGCAAAAGCGGCCAGCTGAACGAGCTTCTGGATGTGTTCATACCGATACGCAAGACGAGGATTCTCGCACCCTCAGCCAGTTTGCGGTATGCCGGAATATCCTCCACAAATTGTCATTGAAGATGTCGCTGCTCCAGCTTCAAAACGACGGCGATTGAATACCCCACTTGCGGGGGGCCTCACAACCCAGCGCGCTTGCGATACACTCGGGTATGAACTCTCACCGTCAACAACACCCATACCGTCTATCTACGCCACTACAGAAGGTATACATGACGATGATTTAGTGTGTTATGGCATGGTTCGTCACATTCTGCTCATCATGATGGCCAATGCTTACATCGCTCAGTATTCTGGTTTGGCAATGAACGTGCCTCCCAATCGTATCGCCTCCCCTCTCTCGACCCAGGGCCCCATTAGCTTCGAACCTCCTCGTACAATTCGTTATGGTGTTGGCGATGCATCGGTCGGATGGCTAGATAACTATGGGAGCAAGTTGCTAAGTACGCTGGCAGCCGACAACGAGTTCATCTTACAACTTGTAACATTGTCGACTCCTATTACCCCCAAGACGGAAGGAAAGACGCTCAAGGATGCAATGTGCCTTGGAGTCATAATATATGGCCCTAGATATCGTTTCAGTCATGTGGGCGACTTCATGACCCAGGCTGGCTGCTACTTGGATGACCCTGTTGGTTGTGACCGCAACGTCCCTTACATGAACCCTCAGTATCTCTGTAGTCTCTACGAAGAACCATCAATGACTTTTGAACTGTTGCAGCTGCAACAAACGGTCGTCGAGAACTTTTCGCGAGCCTCCCTTGATGTCTTGTCAGGTTTTGAGACAACTGACGATATTGACTTATCGGATACCCCACAGCTCTACGTACCAAACTCAAGATGTACGTAACTTGCAATGATCGCGGAAGAAACGAAGAGCGGCAATACAGTCACCAAAGACAAGCACTTACCTTCCTCTTGAGACGAGAAAAAGGTAAGCATCCGACCGAGAATGGTTTGGGTATATGGTTGCGGAAATCGACTGGAGGTCAGACTACGTGAGTCTTCTCGAGACATGCTTCCAAGAATTTCTACTGGATATTAACGCGTGTCAGTTTTTTCAATGCTATGACAGATGGAGTTCAACCGACTCCAGACCCTCTATGGCGTGGTGGACTGCTTGCCGACGAGATGGGTCTTGTGAAAACGCTAAGCATGATCGCTTTGATTGCCTCTGATCAAGATTACGATTTGAGCAACCAACCAACTACCAGTGATTCGAAACCGGGGACTTCTACATGCTCGACTCTCATAGTGGTTCCATCGAGCTGTGAGAAATTTGCATCGTACAGTTTTGCAAATGCTGATGTCGCTTTTGTAGTGTTCGGCGTATGGGAATCAGAACTCAAAACGTATGATGTCACAAATGATACAGCTTGTGCTTGCTGACTCTCACCGGCCATTTGTATGACGGAAAGTTGAAATGGTTCACGCATCATGGTAAACAGAGATTCAAGCTTGAGAAGGACAGACGCCCACCTGGTCCATCCGGTCGATTCAAGCGCTGCATACGACGTGAATACTTATACCTAGGCCAATCATTAGAAATAGTGTTCACCACTTACCAGACTTTTGAAAGAGAGCATCGCAAAGGCGCCCACTCTATTCTGTCTCACCACTGGAGACGCATCATACTCGACGAGGGTAGGGTTGAAAACCCGTCACATAGCTTGAACCGGATTACTGAATGTCATCATCCGTAGCACATACGATTCCCAACCACAATACCTCAACTTCGCAAGTAATGGCTGCTTTACGAGCAACATCGAGGTGGGCGGTTTCAGGAACCACGATCCAGGACAGCCTTCTTGACCTCTGTGGTTTACTCAAATTCCTCCACTTCTCCCCTTACGACGAACCAAAAGCCTTTGACAAAGACATTTCAAACATATGGCGTGTCAAACCTGTCGACGAAGCCGCCGAGACGTTCAAAAAACTACTGTCGTGCTTCATGATTTGCCGAACAAAGGCTGTGCTGAATCTGCCTAGTGTCGATGACCAATTGTGAAATGTTCCATTCAGTCATGAAGAGAGGAACTACTATCGCCAAATCGAGCAACCTGTCGTCGAGATGCTCGACCGCAGGACAGAAAGTGGTGGCCACGCTCACGTACCCTGGATGACCGCTATCCAACAAATCAACAAACTTCGTCGGATCTGCAACCTAGGGGTCTTCAGCTGCTTTTCGCAACCCGAAAACGTTGAAGAGAAGACTTCTGTCATGAACGCCCGCTACTCAATTGACGGTGGATTATGTCAAGTGTGTTCACAGCCAATTGAAGCATCAGCGATGAAGAGTGGTCTCAGGGACACGACACAACCACAGGTCTACTACTCAGCTTGCAGCAAGTTTTACTGCGCTAAATGTGCCGACGACCTTTCTTGTCGCTCACCTGACCAATGCGCATGTACAGGGCAGTCGCAGTCCTGTCAGCTCCGTCCCCTTGCATCCGTCCCACCCAGTCCTAGGCTAACGCCCAATGACGGGCTCTCTCCTTCCCTGGCAGGCTTGGGCCATACCAGTAGTGTTTTAAGCAAAGTATGGGCGCTTATCTCGCAGATCAGGTCGCATCCACAGGAAAAGCAGTGAGCCTCCTAAGAGTTCCTGGAATGTTTCGATTCTAATCTGCTGCTAGTGTTGTGTTTTCATTCTGGACGTCAAGTCTTGACATTGTAGAAGCGGCACTTCAATGTGATCCAAATCACATCATTCCATCAGTTCGGATCGATGGCAAGGTGCACTCGAAGACGCGTAGTCACGTTATACAGAAGCTCCATGACGACTCTGGAACATGCGTCATACTAATCACAATCAATTGTGGTGCCTGTGGCTACGTTTTTGGAGCCGACAATCGCGGATAGGTTGCATTTACTGACAAAGTTCTCGGTCTGGATCTAACAGCGGCTTCGACAGTACACCTTCTAGAACCCCAATGGGATCCGTCTCTCGAAGATCAAGCACTTGCACGAGTCCACCGGATAGGACAAACTCGTTCCGTGACAATTGTACGCTACGTTATGGAAGATGCCTTCGAAGACGTACGTAATTAGCCTGAAATCAAGAATGAGCAGTCTTCGGCTACTTCCTTCTACAATCTCTGGCATGAGCTAATCCGTTATCGCACAGCAAGTCCGCAATAAGTAAAGGGGTGCTTTTTGCTGATAAGACACACAGCCTAACAGTACTTATCTCGTCTTTAATTTTGGCGGCGAGGCTGGTCCGCTCGACGACTTTGACTTTGACTCAATGTTTAGTACAGAAAATGACAATGACGTTCTTGGCAGTCTGGTTAGCGACTTTGATTTCCCGAACGCGGCCGAAATATAGCGCACTTGGAAAATTCAAGTTCTGGTGCTGTGATGATTGTTATGTGATCGTACAACTACTGTCGCTGCCTCAGCGGTCTTTGTATCCTATTGCAAGATATCTGGTAGGTCGCGGAAAAGAAAGCCTTCGTTATCCTCACCTCACTCCGCCGTCATTGTCGACGGCATCACCCTATGCAAAGGAAAAACCGAACAGGTACAGAAATAACAAGTCTTGCTTTGCAGCATACATTGGCTTCTAATAGTAAAAATCATAAAGACTTATAGCATTGTAGACTTATAGATTCTTAGTCTATATCTATATAACTCTCTATGCCCTGAATCAGAGTAGGATGAAGTACCCTACTCTAAAGAGACGTCAAATTTCTCCTTTGAATGTAGTGCTAGATACAATCCCAATTCAACGGATCCTTACAATCACCAATCCCATTGTACACATTCCTCGCCGGCCACTTACAATGCCTCCTCTTATAATCCACACCACTCCCAGCCGTCGTCCCATTCTTATATCTAGTCCCCACAACGACTTCTGGCGCAACGCCCTCCTCCACCCACCTTACCATCGCCATGAGAACATTGTCCTCCGGATCCAAGCCCGCCGAGTTCCTAGCTTGATTTCCAATACGACTCGCGCCCGGTCCACCACCGCAGTGCGCCATACCCGAGATACGGAAGAAGCGGTAAAAGTCGTCCAGCTGAGCAGGCGTCTGCTGCATCGTCGTAGAAACATGTTCATAGTACCGCGGCGAGTTTTCACTCGTGATGACGCCGTCTACGAGACCGTGGTAGTGCAGTAGTTTTCCACCCGCTGCTTTGAACGCCGAGAGGTTGCCGTTCCACGTTTCGATGTCGGCTAGGTTGAGACGCGCGGAGAGACACATGTCGGCTAGGGAAAGGGTGCTAGGATCCCACGAAGTGTCGTTTAGGACGGCGTATTTGAACCAATCCGAGGCGCCGAATGCGCGGCCAGTGAATAGCGTGAAAGGCGCTTCTGTGCCCTCGGCACCAGGCTGTAGACGTGGGTAGATTAGACTGCCGTCAGCGTCGAGGAGAGGCGCGTAAGACCTGCGGACTGTCTGTACCTGAGCCGCGGTAAGACATGTCGTGTTTCGACCCGATGTGCAGAGAAGGCCGGCCGGGTCGTAATGACACAGATCGGGCGATTCGAGGATACCGTCTGCCACGCCATCGAGCATGTCGCACTGTGCCAGCACGTCCTGATGCACGATGGGCCACATGTCGAGAGGAACAAAGGTCGCAGACTCTGGACTCCCGGTAAGAGGTAGGAAGCCAGAACTCCAGGAGGTAAGGTTGTTGAAGGAGAATGCAGGCGCGCCAGCGACGACGCCGTCAAAGTCGTTGGGGAACGATTGGACGGCTTTGAAACCTTGTCTTCCGCCCGTGGAACAGCCTAGATAGTAGCTCTTCGAGTGTGGTCTGCCATAAAAGGCTTCGCTGACTTGCTTCCCGATGACCACACCAGTGTGCACAGCACGGTACGCAAAATCCTCAATCACACCAGTGTTGTTGAGAAACGACTCGCCCGTCATTCCCTCGTGTCCATTATTCGTGCCCACCGATGCGAAGCCCAGTGACGCTGCATAGTCAAGATCCTCGTACTGGATACACCCACCAAGACCCCCGTTGCCGGTGCTCAAGAAGCGACCAGTCCAGTTTTGGGGAAGCCAGACTTCCATTCTGATGCCAGAGGTAGCCGAGGTTTTGACGCTCAAGCCGACGCGGCAGATGTTGGCTGAGACTGCTTGTGAGGGACGAGTGCATGATGGGTCGGCGTTGGGAAATTGTAGCGTCGTGTTGGCAGCGACAAACTCGGTGAATGAGATGTTTGCCTGTGGAATGTGGAGTTTGGTGGCTACGGAAGTGCATTGCTGGGAGAAGCCATTCGAGGCGCGAGATTGGTTGGTGGGGGATCCAAGAGAAACGAGGTTGAGGACAGAACCGATGAGGAAGAAGCTGAGAGAGACCATGGTGCCACGCATGGAAATGAATCTAGAAGAGCACTGAAAAGCTGTGCCGGTCTACTGGGGAGCGTAGTAGAGCGATTCATCGCTGCTACTTATGGCAGCACACCTGCTGTATCATCATAATGAACCGGCACGAGCACACACCAAACGGTGTTTCCCACTGGTCGATCGTGCTGTGCATACAAGCCCGGATTGAAGAAATGGCCCGTACACTGTCAGCAACTCGCATATCTGTGCAGATCAAAAGCTATGACTTCTACAAGGCAGCGTTTCAAGAACGTCTCTCCCAACTGCGGAGAAGCTACCTGTTTAGTCCGCCCTCCTCATTGCTTGACTCGGTCGTCATCATCCCGAGGTTTTGCCAAATCCTTTTGCCACCAACCTGCAAGTCGGCTCTATCTTCATTGGTCCTATGCATGCCTCTTTCCCTGCAGGTTGTCGATAGAAGACTCGCCTCAAGAGCGTTCAATCGTACGTCGGCGCGTCTTGCGGTTTAATGTCTGGCACATGCAGGTGTAGTGTTGTAGCCGGTAAGAAGTGGTGAAATTACAGTGCTGACATCGCCTGCCTGCGCGGGTACTGCCGCCATCCCGAGCGACAACAACAAAGCTCCTTCCACTTAGAGAAACTCGGTGCAATAATGCTCACCTCGGGCTTTTCTGGTGGTAATCTAAATGACACTCTTACCACTAGAATCTCCATGGTAGTCTCACAAAGAAGATGGACATGATTTCAAAATGTTTAGAAATTAATATATTAAACCGCGTACACACTTCCGAGTACGCAGCGCTAACATGCAACACCTCGAAAATATCTCCCTCCCACCGAACAAATGAAACCCCCCCTAACCACTACTTTTCTCCTCTGCCATCCAAACAAACGAAAAAACGCGTCCAATAGTCTCTCTCTAATCAGCCCTCCGCCCAAAAGGCCTAGGCCCCCCCAACCTCGGTCCAACAATCTGCCTCTTCCCTGCGCCAATACCTCCAAGTCTGTTCTGATTGTCACCACCCATGTACCCATACTGATTCACATCCCAACTTTGGCCTCCTCCTGTGCCCGCATTGGGATCCTTGGCCGCCTCCTGCAGCGCGCGTTGACTCTCCTCCCACTCCTTTTGTCTCTCCCTCTCGCGCTCCATTTCACGCTCGAGGAGAGATTTACTCGCCCATCCCGCGTTCTTAGTCTTCTGCTGCGCGGCGGCGCGACGTGCGTCTTCGCCACGTTGCTCAGAGGTTGAAGTTAGTTCTGGGGGAATGTACGTCTGCGGCTTAGGTGCTGTAGGAGGTGGGTTTGATGCAAGATAGCGGTCCGTTCGGCTTTGCTTCTGCTGTGTGTATGCGGCCGGGTCGGGAAGCGGACGCGTTGTTGTTGGCTCTGGAAGTGGGCGGGTGGGAAGGGATGGTGGTGTGGGTTCGGGCAGGGGACGCGCGGGTTGCCGTTGTGTCTGATCCCATTGTTTGCGTAGATACTCGCGGTCGTCTGCTTGCGCCCAGGATACATTACTATCTTGCGGACTTGGGGCGCGCGGCGGGGGCTGTGGGCGAGCTCGACTCTTGGACCGCTCGCGCGTACGGCTCTTACTTCTCGATCGCACTTTCTTGTCTTGGAGACGTCCTTCGCGCTCGGCTTGGTATTGGCGCTCGCGCTCTTTGGCTTCTTCGAGCTGGCGCTCCAACTCTCGTATGCGTTCGCGCTCGGCGTTGGGCTCCTCGCTGCTTCCCCTTCGACTGCGCGGTGACCTGACTTGTTCGGCTTGGTACTGGCTAAGGTATTGTCCCTTGAGTCTGGCGTCGCTCCCAGCACGCTTCCGTCGCGTCTCAGCCTCTATCCGCTCTTGTTGTTCTCGTTCTTCTCGCTGCCGGAGTTCTTCATCTAATTTCCATTGGCGCTCCTGCTCTTCCCATTCGCGCTTCTGCTGGTCGAGGCGCGCTTGCTTGGCCTCTTGCTGCTTGCGTGTCTCCTCTTCCCACTTCTGCTCTTCCTCGAGGCGTATGCGTTCTTCTTCAGCCTCGCGCTCGATGCGGCGTTTGTTTTCGGCCTCCTCGGCTAGCAAACGTAGCCTCTCTTCCTCGGCCGCCTTCTCACGTCGCAGGCGCTCCTTCTCAGCCATGTTCGGCACGTGCGGACCTGCGCTCGTGATCTGCCGGCGTGCGCCGAATGCGATGCCCTGGTTGCCCTGACTCGCGCCACCCATGTAGCCGTATTGGTGGATGTTCCATGCCGGTGCTGTGCTCCCTTCGTCAACCTTCTTGCTCCAGCTACTGACTCCGCCCGGAGGTGACTTGGGGAGACCGTTGGAAGTGTAGGATGTGTCTGAGCCTCCAGTACGCGCCGCACTCAGCGTCCTCTCAGCAGGCGGCCGCGCCAGGGGATTGAATGTGCTAGAGCCGCTGGTATTGCTGGCTGTGCTGGGCCCTCGGCTACGTGTATAGCCGGGAGACGGCGGTGGCATGCCAGGACTCGTCATGCCTCCTCCGGTCGCTGAGGGGCTCAATGCACCAGCTCCGCCGCGCTTAGGGCCGATGGTGGTGGGAAAGTTGGAGGGATTTCTTGCATTGGCAACGCGGCTAAAGGCGCTGAGACATTGCAGCACCTGGGCTGGGTCTTTGGACTCGTACAGGTCGACAGTGAGGAAGCGGTCGTGTGCGGGCATGTTCAGCGGCGGCTGTTCGCAGGCTCGGAGGAAGTGGGAAATGTTCTCCATCTGTATAAAAGGCATGGCCGACTTTTTGAACCTCACGGGAGTGGGTATGGCGAGATTGACGAGTCTGTCATGGTTAGCTGGACTGGCCCGGCTGCCTGGTCACCCGCCGGGTATCACTGTACCTGCATAATACGGTCCCGTCCTTGAGCGCATCCAGCAGATCTCCCGCCGGCAATCGCTCTCCCAGTGTACCTTCTATCCAGCTGCGGACCTCGTTGGCTGCCTGGGGGGTATATCTGTCCATGCGCAGCTTTCGCATGTCCTGATCTAGAGACGTAACAGACGCCATGGTCGGCGGTTTGGGCGCAAATCAGGTTTGTTTAGGTTGGGCACGAGGGTGGGTGTCGTTGTTACTGTGGATGGAAGGTGCACGAGTTGCAGTAGGATATGATATGATAATGTATATATCGCTATGTAACAATCTCGACTGCTATGTGTTGTTGTGATGTCGAGGCATGTGTGTGTGGAGAAGACTTGTGGTGGTGGGGGAATGCTTGCTGGCTTGCACATGTGCTTACGCACCAGCCACCCGCGGCCAACGTCACCGCTGCGCGTCAGAGTCGCCTCCAAGCAAAAGTCTCCCCTCTTGAAATTATCCTGTGGCAACACGAGACTCAGCATGGCGGGCGCAGTGGGCCCAATTCGAAAAGCATGGTACCAATGGAAGATGAAGCGCTTTCCATGGCGCAAGAAGTGGCTTGTGGGTGAGTGCTGGCGTCGACACAGGCTCGACATAGGTCTCTGGCGTATCCTTGCTTCACGCCTCTAACAACATCACAGGCTTCGATCTCCAGGGCAACACCTTCTGGGAGTTCAAGGACGCACTGCACGCACTGCGCAACCGGAGAATAGCAAAATACAGCCGTAGCACACATTATGGCGACGTGCAGATATCGCGTTTGTGCCTTCCACATGTCGTCGTGCATGGAAACTGACTGTGGCAGCGTCATGGATGCAATGGCTGCGGCACACGCGCTACGAACCGCCCACTGTTGCCGAACAACACCAGGACATGATGAGGATAGAGCGCATGAAGCAGCTTGCCGCGCAGGCGGATGCGAGATGGGCAGAAAAGCCGTCAGCGCTGGATGCGCCGGATAAGCAACAACCTGTGCAGATGCTGCAGTCGAGAGACCCGGACAGCGGCGTCACGCAGATGAATGCCGACCAAGAGATAAGGGACAGCATAGAACCGCCTCGCCCACTCGACCAGGAAGCTGCAAGACCAGCGCCAGTAGAGCCCGAGCAACCTGCAGAGCCTCAGCAGATGCCACGCGACCCACCAGCACCGGCCGCCCAAGACGACGCGTCTGCCTTTACAGCGAAGAAGAGAATGAAGAAGGAACCCAAGGACTCGCCATGGAAGCAGGCAGCTCAGAGTCAAGAGTGGCAACCCCAAGGTTGGAGCCCTGCGCCAGCCAAACGACGTTGACGATGATGAAGAGATAGTGACTGTACGAATACTTGTTTCAATACTGGTAAACATCAGCAAACCATATGTTTATATTGAAGTCTGACCAACAGCCTGTGGTTCACCGTCAGCATCGTGATTGCAGTACCACGGTTGCGAAGAACGACTAACGATCATGGCGCGCACAATGTCGGACGTGCTGTGCTCGCTTGTTCCTTGTCATGTCCCGTTGCAAAGGTTATTCAGAGTTGACTCCAGGTCCATTATTCCAAAATATGGTATCTCTTTCGCAGGATGAAGACGACATGTGCCACCCCAACACTCACAACGAACTGGTTCCCTTATCGATTTCTAACTCCATGGCACCTATTCCATCAGTCCAGATGACATTTCAGCTGGTTGCCGCACACCTACCCATAGAACTCCTGCTCATGGTACTGAAGGAATGGATTGGTGCGCAGCGTGTCGTGGTAGGCAATGATGGTAGTTTGGATTATACCTTGTCCTACAGCAACCCCGACAACCCTAGCCTCCTTTTCACCATCCCCAAACCCCTTCTCAGAGACTATGTCCGCCAAAGAATTCATGCCTGGTCAACAGACACCAAGGAATTTGACGACCCACCAACCTTCTACCTAAGCCATCTCCTAACATCCTTGAAAATGCCAGACAACCGTCTAGCATCCTACGACGTATCCTCGCACTTTCTAAACCCCATATCACGGGATCCCAACCTCACACTCTCAACAACCTTCCCCATCAATAACATCCACAAGCTTCGAAACATACTTTTCCCTTGCCTACCCCCTACTCACGGCTTCGAGAAGATAAAGCTAGACTTCACAGCTGAACAGTACTTTGCGCTCTTCGACGTGCAGGTACCGCCATTCCACTACCGCGACGACACCGTCACGGGCGACAACCTCTACCGCGACGACCACTGCCACTCCGCCGGCCTCTTCCTCGCACACACGCACGCCCTCGAGCTGCATTTCGGCTCAGCCTACAAGTCCAGCAACCCCTGGTACAACGTCACGGAACCCGCATGGTGCGTCCCAAATCCAGCTTGGTCCTACGTCGAGGCTAGACTCCGCCCTCATGTCTGCGATAGCGGCATGGTTGTCGATTGGATACTGGAGTATGCGTGGTATACTGGGTACCTTCAACGTATACGGGACATTAAGTTGAGCGGGGATATGCAGGGATGGGTCAGGGAGAAGTGGTATGATATTTTTCGACGGCACGCTGATCACGTTGAAGCGCATCCGGGAGAGCATGTTGGTATTTTCGCTGTACATGAGCCTGATCCTATAGAGTTGGAGACGATTGGTATGATTGATGATGGCGAGGAGGATGAGGAAGATGAGGCATGGATGCCGAGAATTCACTATCCGCCGCCATGTACATGTGAGATTGGTTGCTGGCGTCTACAAAATGGCAAGATTGAGGAAGAGATAAAGGCGAAGACTTGGGAAGACTTTGAGCAGTATGGGACAGAGGTGGTGGGTGATTGGATGGTTGGCGTCGAGCTGGGACCCGTTGTGGACTAAGGAGCTCTTTCTTTCTGAGTTGTAGGCAAAGCTGTTCTATTCTTATCCCACCACATGTAAATTCCATGCCATACTACCAAGTGACTACCATCAGTCGTCGGAAGGGCGATTAAACTCATGTTAGAGAAGTCCAGACGAACCTGCAAGTCTGCCACGCTTCCAGTCCTCACTCGCATCCACCCAAAGTAACACTCCTCAATGACAATAGTCATAAGGGGCACGAAGGAAGTCGTTCTAGTGTCTAGTGTAACACACAAGCCCGGAGGTAGCCAGTGTACCAGTTTTCATCCTCGGAACCACTTCCGACCATGACGTCACAGTTCAGTTCACCGACCTACCGACACCTCTCATAACCTAGACAGCACTGCAATCACAACTATTACCATCACAAGACATAACAACACGCATCTCTTTCTGCGCCGGATTTCCCCAGCTTTTGACAAATACCGGCAGAAATACTGCCCCTGCCGAGTTGTGCGTCAATGATCGTCCCGCGTGGGTCTAGAGGCTGTCGATCTGGTGTCATTCGTCCGAGTAGTGGCTGATCATCATGAGTCGCAGCCTCTTCCGTCGTTGGACCACGTCGACTACGCGGGACTATGTTGTGACTACGCGAGCGACGTGACGCTATGAAAAAGGCTCCGAGGCATCTTCTCCAGAACTAGGGGAGGAGAGAGGGGTCAGCGAGTTTCGGGCGATGGTTATTGGATCGTTGGTGTCAAAACCTTGGAATGTTTTAAGGACAGGATGGTGGCACCCTTTGGTGGTGGGTTGTGGACTTGCATCTCGTTTCCGCTCAAGACATTGTTGTTATCTGGGTGAAAGGAAAATATACGCTCGTTCTTCAAAATGCGTTCTACATTCGCCATCTCACTGCTTGCTGGAGTTGTTGTATCAGCAGAAGGCCTCCTAGATCTTCCACCCGACATCGCCGGTTTACTTTCTTCGCTCAGCCCAGCACCTCCAACGGACCCTCGGTGGACAGACTGGCATCCAGCAGGAAGCAGCGATGGTACATGCACCCCTGCTATCCACATTCTCCACCAAAGTCACTAATCATCCTGACCCCAACAGTACGCTCTCCCTGCCCAGCCCTAAACAGCCTCGCAAACCACGGCTTCATCCACCGCGATGGCCGCAACATGACCATCCCGCACCTCATCTCCGGCCTCGCTGTAGGCCTCAACATAGGCGCCGACTTCACCACTGCCATCAGCGGCGCCGGCCTGCTCTCCTCTCCCAATCCGCTCGGCGGCTCCTTCGACCTCGATGACTTGAGCCAGCATAACTTCCCCATTGAGCACGACGCCAGTATGTCGCGTCAAGACGCCGCATTGGGTAACCCACAGCCCTTTTACAACCCAAACTGGCAGCAGTACATTTCCTTTTTCGCTGGCAAGGACCAGACGGATGTGCCTACGGCCGCCAAGGCAAAGTACGCCAGGACGCAAGATAGTCAGAAGCGGAATCCGGAATTCGTGTATGGGTTGCGAGAGGCGGTGTTTAGTTATGGCGAGAATGCGCTCTATTTGCAGACTATGGGGTCTGACCCGTTGTCGGGAAAAGCCAAGGTAGAGTATGTGAGGAGCTTGTTTGAGCAGGAGAAATTGCCGTTTGAGCTTGGGTGGAGGCCGAGTGTCCTGCCTATTACGCTGCCTAGTTTGGGTGCCATGGTTGTGGAGTTGCAGGCGAGCAGCCCGGAGCCTCTGCCCGAGGGAGTGAAGATTGTGGCGGACTCGTACAAGGATGTGTTTATTGCTGTGGCTGGTGGGTCGAATATCCTGGGGAATCTTACTGCGGGGATTAGTGAGGCGTTGGGTTTGTGAGAGCGTACGGGGCAAGGCGTTAGGCTTGTGTTGATGGTAACAGAGGGGGACATGTCGAGTTTCCATCGTTATTATTACCCTGTTTCTATTCTGATTTGGTCATTACCATGTTCGAACTTCGTCTCCATTTCTCAAGATCATCAACTCTTATTCTCCGACTCTAGACAGGCACGTACGCGATAAGTTCTAAAGACCAAGTTGTGATCTTTCACTTGTAACGTTGTATCCACAGCCTTGATTGCATCACCCTCAAAATCCTCTTGCATGTTCTCCCATCCCTTCTCGCGCACACTCGCTTCTTCACGGTACAGCCCACAACCCTCAAACAACTCTTGAAAACATTCTTCTGTCGAGGCCATGGTGTTCAACCCAAATGTCACAATCTCCAATCACTCAGATAGTCTCCCCCGTTGCAGAAAAGCTGTGTTGGACGGAAACATGGTGTCGGAGGTGGTCGAGAAGGCACCTCGTCGATTTTGTGTCCTGGAAGCTGTATGCACTGCTCCGAATAAAGCTCTCCATACGGTACAGGCAGCTCAGGGGTATAGAACTCAAGAACCTGTTGCCCCTGGTGCCACGGTAGTGCTTGCATTTGGGGCAGGCTCCGGTAGCGTGGTGCGTAATGGCCCTCCATGTACTGACGGTGGTAGTCATGAGCGTAGATCTGCCAAGTATTCTGCTGGTTCTGCTGGTACTGGTAGATATCTTGCTGTGTCCAACTTACGTCGGACATCTCATAACCGGCAGTAGTTATCGGTTCATCGACGGTAGAAGGTCCGACTAGTTCCTCGAGATCAGCAGCTATGTTATGTTTGTGCTGAGGCTTCGGTTCGTAGAGGGGTAGATCAGCATCGTACGAGTTGTAGTATACCCCAGCTTTCAGGAAATCTGTATGCGTGCCAACTGGGCCGACTTCAACGGGTGTACAGAGCTTTGTATCCTGACCTGAAGATTTGCTTTCTGCGACATCAGGCAACAGCTCGGTTTGCGTCACAAATTCCTCCTGTGACATATGCGTTGGAAAGTCGCTGAACGTCTCGAAAAGCAAACAGCTGATATATTGTTCCATGCTCGACCCAGCATTGGGAAAGTAGCGGGCGCGAAAACCAGGATGCTGCCGCCAGAACTTCCCTGTCTTGTACGCCTTTTCTCTCAAGTCCCACTTTTCTCTTCGTTTCAGGTTTTTGAAATACCTTTCGACGTCCTCTTTCGGCAATTTGGCAAGCATCTCTAAGAAACCCTCATGGTCGTAAGCCGCATGGAAGTCTTCCTGGCTAAAGTAGTCTGGTGGTTCTGGGTAATGCTCCTCGAACGGCGTTGAGAGCTCACCCTGTGATACGCGAGCGTCGATTTCGTTCATGATACCTTTTATCGCGGTTCTTTGAGAGGCATGATAACCCTGTAAACGTATGGCATTCTGATCGGTATCAGGATCAGTTGCATCGCCTCTGATAAGCCTAGATCCTGATAGGGGACCGCGAAGGTGGAAATCTGACAACACGGATGTCATATAAGGCATATGTAAACCGAAGTGGGTCATTTCCTCGAGAGTGTGAGTGAGGTAGGCGTGCGGGTAGTAGAGGTGAAATTCAGCTTGGGAGATGTAGTCAGGATGTAAAGTCGTGCGGACCTTGAGCCGGAAGCGTCAGATGCGGGATGGGAATTCCAATAGATATTCAATTTCACCACCGGAGATGGAAATCGTTTTATACACATGGTGCGTACAGAGAATAACCCGCTTCTCTTCCCACAGTTCAGTTGCAATCCATGAACCAATCAAGGATAATCTTTTGAACCTCTTTTGTTAAGCGAGGAATCTACCATGGAGCAATTGTGCTGTGAACCGGGGCTGGTACCCATAGTGGGCAGGCAGCCGAACCATAAGCTTGTAAACGTCACGTGAATATGAGAAAAGTAACGTGGTACAGTTGGGTGAGCCTCGAATATGTGGGTCAAGTATGCAGTTTACGACGGACATGTGGAGCTGACGACGAATGATAGTCCTATGTTTGGATATCTCATGTATCAAAATGAAATGGTTCGGTTATGCGTCTCGACAACGATGCAATGCTTTCCAATGCGGGGACGAAACCTGAGAAGAGTTCGAAAATTTCACGTGGTGTCAAATTGCTCCACTATTCACGGGAGACACTGAGGAAACTGTTAATCTCATAAACATGAAGCGAGTTTTATGTACTACGCAAGTGTTCCCACAACCAGCGACGAGAAACACTCAATCCAGCTTCACACAGTCTGACTACAGAGTCCGGTCTCGCTTCGCCAGGAGCGCGTTGTATTCTCGATCGTCACTCGTCCTTTTGTGTCCTCAGACAGCCAGCCACGGCACGCTGAGATGGAAGGCTGGATAACTCGTTTCTCGAACGTCATCTCGTCCTTTACAAAGAGGACCATGAAATTGATGTCCCACACATAAACTGCTGGTATAAGCCTACACCGTATCCTGTTGATCTGATCTTGCGCATACGAAGACGTGTGTTTCTTCATCTCCGCTATTCCGTTCTTGACATAAGTCTGGTTACTGCCTTCATTGCACCCCGCAACGGCTGGTCGTAATTCCGGGTATCCGATCGCTTTCCAGACACCTCTTGAGAAGTCTGGGCAGCCCAGCATGCTCTGTTCCAGTTCGTAAAGTTCGCGTACTTCTTCGATGAGACCTTCCTCCACCATCTGATCTACCCGTTTGTCTAGCCGAGGTTTCAAAAGTGACATGTCAGAATCAAGAAAGATGACCGATAGATTGCTGCGTTGGATGAAGGGGTGCGAGAGGAGGGGCTCCGTCAACGAGATGGATCCACCGACCAGTAGAGGGGTCCTGCCGCTGTCCTGGATTTGCTGGATGATTGAAATAGCAAGGTCGACAAAGGCGGTTGGTTCTTGGTCGGGCTGTAGATAGTCTATCAGATGGTGCTTGACGCCGTCCATTTCCTGGATAGTAGGCTTTGCCGTCATAATACCTCCATGTCGATATGTTTGCAGACTATCCACGGAGATGACCTCGCCGTTCATGGCTTTGGCGAGTGAAATTCCAAGCTTCGTCTTCCCAACGCCTGTGGGGCCGACAATCGCAATGATGGGTCTGCCTGCCATTGTATAGATAGTTTAGATAAAGAAAGATTGGTTAAGATGTGTGTGATGCGGTAGATGTTGTAAATGAGAGAGTTTGACGGTTATGAAGTAATTGAAATGATGATGCGCGATAAAGGAGTTTCTTAAATAGAGGAGTTGCTACTCATGGAGTGCAGGCAAGATGGCTTGAGATGATGTCACAGATCGGGCCAGGAATATGCATGCAAAAACGATTCTAGACTCATGTTACGTAGGATATGTCTTGTGTATCACTTTCAAGACAAAGTTAAGTCACGTAAAAAGTTGTTGATGCTGAGGCAGGGCAACACAACGCCGTTAAGTAATTCAGTATGATGATCTGACTGCTGGTTCATTTCCCACATACCCTGTGTTGTCTATATGTAGCTGTAATCATCAAAAGACTCTCGCTGGAGCCGCTTCCCTGAGTGCCATGCTTGAGGTCTTGTCATGAATCTCTCTTACCAGGCGAACCCTTCTCAGGATAAAGTCAACTCTCTTGTCGGCCCGTGAAGATACGATACTAAAACTTAGCATTGTTTTGTCTTGCACAAAGCAAATGCTACGTCACCTACAAAGCTCAGGTTGAGATCCGTTTAAGGCAGATCCCAGTAGTACCTGAGTACTGTTGTTTCATGCCTAACTCCAAGAGGCAAAAGAAGCTTGAAGAAGAGACCGATTAGCATCTCGCTTTGATTACGGCTAGACCAATGGGTCGAGAGGTACTACAGGAATGCGAGGGCCTCTTACTTGGAGACTAAGATACACAGTAGTGCTACCGAGATATCGGTGTTGCCGGAATATGGAAAGCTCTTAACAACCGAATAGCACGATCTGCTGTTAGACAAGAACAATCCGGCGATCATGAAGCATTGGCCAAGCCTCCTGTTTCGGGCTTGCAACGTCTTGTTGGCAGCGGCGAGCGTTGATTTAAACCGTTTACCCGTAGAGCCGAACCTTATTCACAGCTTCAGGTTTATACTTGGCATGAATTGGCACAATGGTGCCAAGGCACCACGTCTTCCTAGTACTGAAATAGCGTATGGGGCGGTGTCATAAGCATGGGAGCCTAACTTTAGCGAGGGGTAGCACAGAACCTAGGTTAAAAAGGGAAGATGTGTAAGACAGTACCTCATGGGGTGCAGTTTCGCTAGTAGACCACCCTTGTTGTCCTTCAGCTTATGGAGAGAAATTGCTACGATGATCTGCTTAGTAGAACATGTATAAATAATGCAAGACGAACTCCAAAAGTCTGTATCATCACTCGACTATTTTACGGCTCGACCATCCTATCTCTTGTTCTGCTCAGAAATACCTCAGTACTCAAACAAGAATCAGTAAACAATGGGGGTGGCGCAAGTACACACAGAACCACCAAATGGCACGCGTTCAAAACCATTCACACTGTGTGTGTTTTGTGGTATGTCTTTACAAGTACACAGGAGTGAACACGTATTGATCAATAGCAGGATCGAGTGAAGGAAACGATCCCAGGTTCCGCGATGCTGCCAGAGCGCTAGCGAACATGATGGCGAAGAAATCATGGTCACTAGTGTACGGGGGCGGGACCATGGGGCTGATGGGAGTACTTGCTGGAGAGGTAGTGGCCTTGCAGGGGCCTGATGCGGTGCACGGCATTATCCCACGGGCGCTCCTACAAGGCGGATCGGCGCCGGCGTTTGATCAATTCGGGCGCACAACGGTGGTTGCTAGCATGCACGAGCGGAAGCGGATGATGGCAGAGGAGGCAGATGCCTTCGTGGCATTACCTGGTGGTTTCGGAATGCTTGAGGAGTTACTCGAGATGACGACATGGAGTCAGCTGGGTATCCATGCGAAACCGGTGGTTGTATTCAACGTGTCCGGTTTTTTCGACGGTGTGTTCGAATGGATACAGACTGCAATCACGTTCGGCTTCATCCCGAACGCCCAACTGGGGTTGATTGGACAGGCACGCACAGACGAGGAGTTGGCGACGATCGTTACCACCGGAGAGGTCGCTCCGGGACGATACACGTTCCTGGACTGGTCGTCGGACCGTCATCACAGCAACGGCCAGGTGAAAGGGACCATTATAGATCCGGAGACTGTAAACAATGCTTCGCGTTGATATTGTAGTATCTAGAGATCAAAAGACAGTCAAAATCTCCGGTTACACGAGCGTGCAACACCACTTGCTTTGATGGTCTCTATGCCAACGGAAAAGGTGGGATGCACTTGATTGCAAGTTCAGTGGTCGCTTCACTCCGGGATTGGTGATGTAGTATTCGTCAACATTGGGTCTACCATGGCGTAGCAGTATCTATCGACAGTTTGGGCCTCCTGCTATGTTTTTGATTCTCAGGCTTTGGTAGACACTCGCATCAGGTGTGCTGAGTGCGGGTAACGAAACGAAGTGACTTTCCAGACTGCGGGAAGCGCTAGCCCGATCATGGTCGTGGCAACCCGGTATCGAAACAGCGCAAGCACTAGTAACCACTATTCTGGAGACAAATATTCGAACCAGTCCTGCATGTACATTATAAAGAGGTAAGCAATACCCTATCTCCGTGCGCTGCATACAAACTAAGTGAGGAAAACTGTCTCTAACAAAGATTGTTTCCCTGTCCCAGTTTGGTAGTCCATAATGCCATGAACATATGCATCTCCGAGTAGTTCAAAGCTCTGATGGTTGCTAAAGCATCGTGTCTCTTTCTCTGTCCCATGCCCCGTCGACACAAGGATCTCAACCTTTTCACCGTGACAGACACTGGTTTTTGCTGCTCGCCGAAGAATCAGAGGCACTCTGCTTCCCAACAGAACGAAGACCCAATCGCCGTTGGTGAGCGAGCCGGGTCCAACCCCCATATAACCCTTAGAAGTAATGAAAAATTTCCTACCCTCACTGGCGCATTCGACAGCATAGTGAAAGGCGTTTTTGTCCTCATTCCGCTCGCCCATCTGGAAGGTTTCTCGCAGACCCCCGTTCATGGTAGCGCGGTGCCAGATATCAAGCTCCTGATCGCACCAGTTCACGTAGCTTGATTTTCCTGCAGACGTAGATCTTTGAAAGGTTCTTCCTGCCTCGTCTTGCGGCGAGTAGAGTATATCGGCACAAAGCGTCCTCCAAAATGCGCCCAGTCGACTCCCGCCTGATATGTAGTCCCCAGTTGTATGCACTCCGACTTGTCGTCTCCAATTGGATGTTGTAGCACGCATACGGCTAATTGGGCCTTCTAACGGATTCTCATCATGCCACTTGATTTGATCGATGCAAAACCCCTGGACCTCCAATATTGATTTGCTGTGTAACCGGACAGGACCTCGCGAACGACCCGAGGCATCATACAATGTAAGTCGAGACAGTCTTTCGGACTCATGATGTTGGGGTGAGGCATTCCAATCCGTAATCCAAGATGGATATCTCTTTACGTCCTCAGTGGCTTGATGAGTCCCGGCGAGAACATCCAAACAGCCTGAGCTTGTGATTATATCCTTAGTAACTCGGAACCAGACTTCTCCTGGCTGGAGGCTATAATCGGGTCGTAATGGTCCAGTCGGTCCCCAGTGGCGAACAAGGTTTAGTAGCGCGAATACTTCATCTCTCTCGTCTGATGCTTTTCTGGAGCGAAACTTGCGCAAAAGGCTAAGAAGCGGAATTGGCTGGTACTGCAGCCACTCTTGCCTCGTAGAATCAATGCTGGTAACGATGCGATAGAATTTCGCTAACGGGTCCCGAGTATGGTGAATCGTTGTAGAGTCGAGATTATCAATAAGTTGACCCCGACTGTAGTTTGTGGCAGCATGCGAAAACATTGTCCAAGGCGCTGAGATGTTGCCGTAGCGGATTGTTGCCTTTTGCGCAACCACTGTTTCCTGTACCACCCAGGTTCTGTGCCACTAGATGTGGCGACAACTTGTTAGCGAAACTCATACATTATCAGCTAAGAGTAAGATGCATGGAAATTGAGAGAAATACTCCTTACCCACGTTTCACTCATCAACGCCTTGAGTCCTGACACAGTGTCTGTTGCTAGAGATAGGTAATTTAGGAAGCGTATGTTTCTTGGTGGCACGCCCCGCGATAAAAGGTAGATGGTACAGAAGGCACCATATACTTCCTTCGCACTGGTAGACGAAAACAAAGAGATATTTTCGAACGCCTGAGAATATGAATCTACCTTTGCTGAATCCCTCTCATCATCGTACCACTCTATAACGCGAGCTCTTTTCGTGAGCTGCGCTGGTCGCTGACCCCGCCCCCGTTCTTCGAATCGATCATACTTGCTGCCTTCCCCCAGCCAGATGATAACTTCGCGGCTCTTCTCATAAATTTCCCTCATCATGGCAACTTGCAATGATCGTTCCACGACATCTTGCTGATTTATGCACAGAAAATCAACCCAAAGAACGACCGGAACTTGAACATTCCGCAACTGCCTTAGAGCATCGAAAAGATTGGCGCTGATCTTTACATTCACACCATTGCATAATATCGTTGCATCAGGTTCGTTCTGGTCCAAACGCCACGCATATGAAAGGGCCTTGTAAGGCATTATTGTCCCCAACGAAGTTTCGAAGATGTCGCAAACTATTTCCTCGTCCCAATCTCCAGAAAGAATCTTCACCAGCCGTATGACACCCGATTCAGGGAGAGTAGAATACAAGGTTTCATTGCGACAGCCCACGCTCAGTACCAGGCTCCGACCGATATTACAAGTGTCCATATTGCAGGCGTCCTTTAGCTCGAATGATGGTTGAATTAAGAAGTACGCCGACAGGTTAGGCTCTATCGGTTGCGATGTGCTCGAGAAGTACGAGGACGTGGTGGGTCGGACGAAGGGGTCGACGGTGGGTTCGCGAAACTGTAGGGCGGTGCGACACTTTCTCTCTAAGGCATGGGGCGCTCGCGCTAGGTATAGCCATACATTTCACGATGTCTCCAAGTCGTGCGACGGCTGCCTCGGAAGCTGATTGCGGTTTCGATGCGGAGTGTGTTCATTGACACGAGCTATACACAAGGG